TAATTGAGAGAATCAAGTATAACTTTTTAATTTACATGTATTGATTTAACCTCATTGAGAACAATGAGAAGACGGGTAAAGGTCTTTCAGCCCAACTTTTTTCCTTTTCCCTCATACATACACATTTTAAATTATGATCTTTATAAAAGAAACATTATCGAGAGTCCTAACTGTTCATGTGGTACACCAGAAGACCCATATCATTTTTTCTTTGTCTGCAATAAGTACCAATATGCTAGAGAAAAGCTATTCAGAGATTTACTGTGTCTTACGAAACCAAATATTAAATTGAACATTATTGATTGCCACTTACTTCTGTGGGGAGATGAGTCACAAAATGTAGAAATCAATAAATATATTTTTCAGTCAGTTCAAAAATTTATAAGAGATTCTGGTAGATTTAATTAATTATTACTGCCTAACACTTACACTCTATATAGTTATATATTTATCATATGTAACAAATGTATGTTTCAATTTAACAAACATGTTTGTACATCAATATTCCTTTTTTCACTTATTTTCCCTATGTATATATATTGACAGTTGTATGGTGAGAACCTAGTAAGTTGTTAGAACTTGTGTTCAAACCATTTCAATAAAATATGTTCAAACCATACATAGCCGTCTGTAGCAAATTGAACGTGTCCCCAAGCTAAGCCCCAATTTCCAGTGCCTATATTATGTATATGTTTGCAAAACATTTGTGTGCCTAAGCCCCCTCCCGGTTACGATGCCTATGCTACTCCCAAACATATGTATTTGCATAACTGGTATGACGTTGAAAATTTTCAATAAAGAACAAGAGCCACTTTGGGCCTTATTTGGCCCTGAGAATTTCTGAAAAATCAAAACCGACCAGTTTAGGTTGCAAATGCAGTATTTATAACTTGGAGTGTTGGTGACCACGTATCTATTAATTGTGACATAATTTCGCATCTAGTCAATGTATTATGACGTCATGAAATGCGTAATTTTCCTCATTTCCGGTAAATTCCTTTGAAAATGACCTAAAGTTGAAGCATTTTTTCAATATTTCACATAGAGCACAACCTCTGATCCAAAATATGCAAATACATATTGATAGCTCTGTTTCTGAAGATCAAAAAACATGTTTAATTTTTTGGATCGTGGACTGTGCTCATAGTTTAATTCTTTGCTGAAGGTAGTCAAATACGCATGGTTTCTACAAATTTCAAGAACATTGCAATTTTTCAAACCTGTTTTCCAATATCTGGATTCTCAAAACGAAAATTTATTATAGAAAATGAAAGCACTAAGTGTCTACTTTATTTTGATATATGAAATGGGAAAGAGGGTGATAGTTAATTAATTGATATAAGTACAGGGCCATTTTATGCATAAGCTGGCTCTTGCTCTTTAGTTTACATAAAATGCATGCAAACAGTAAAAATTAAGATTAAGTACACTACAACATTTAAGGACGCTCTAAACATTGCACACTTAAGAGCTCTATTTAAAGGGTAGTTTTATGCAGTTAGAGTGATCTGCCCTTAGATGCAAAATTAAAGAAATTATTATTCACAGTTAATTACATGATTTGTTATAGATTAAAATATTTTTAGATCCTAAAAACCAAGAGTAAGAAATTTGAATAATTATTTTCATTAATTTTTCCAATGTAAGTAAACAACAGTAGATTTCTGCTCACAAATAATCCATTGTCTTTGAACATTTTTCCTGCGCAAATGAGGCACGTACCCTATATGCATATCTTTATATGATATATTTTTCTCTGAGTCCAAAAACACAGTTTCTGTTAGTGTTTAGAGCTTCCTTAAGAAAGAATTTTCAAAGTATGGAAAAATCAAAATCGCTCACTTTCACATTCTGAAGTGACCTTATCACGAAAAAGTTATCAAATATTTATTATACCTAAGATTTACAAGAATATCCAGCATACACATTTTTTTCAAAGTGCGTTAATATGGTAGATATTAACGCAATTTGAAAAGAAATTTTATTTTTTCAAATGCGTTGATTTGGTCCCAAATTTAACGCACTTTCAAATTTTTTTTCAAATTGCGTAATTTTTCAAAGTGCGTTGTAACACACGTACTGTTATCTCTAACTGGGAGAAGTCAAGTTTGAGGCAAGGATTTCCATGCGAGAAAAATATTTTTCAAAGAATAAAATGATTATTTTGTGAATTTTTGAAACATCTTTGCCTGATATACGGTGTGTACACATATTAAGGATAGATATGCATAGAAGATATATATTAAACAAGTAGGCCTATACCTACGTATCCCATACAGAAATGTACATGTGGTATCTTTAATTATCATATTCTCATTCATTTAATGCAATTTCATTCCTAAATACACTTTAATTACGCTGTGACAAATTTCCGCGGAAAAATTGTGACCGCGTTCATAGCGTAAATTAATCCCATGCAGATAAAAGTACGTCTACATTATGGGTTATTTGTGAAATTATATTCAATTTATGAAAGAAGAAAATATGTTTCCAAGACTAGAGGAAATTCAAAACCAGAACTCAAATCTTCAGCAAGGGTGTTATGATTAATTTACTACGTTTTAAAGGACACTCTCCAGGACGTGCTGCTGACAGACATTTCATTTCCATATTTTTTTTATGCACCCGGATTGATAGATCCGGGGCGTATATTGTTTTTTATGCGCCCGGATTGATAGATCTGGGGCGTATATTGTTTTTGTCCTGTTTGTTTGTTTGTCTGTTTGTCTGCAAACTACAACCTTCGCCATGATTTTTGAACCATAAAAGATGGAGATTTCATATTTGGTGTGCATACTCCACTAATTAAACTCTTTCAAATGACACCAAGGTCAGTGGCCTTGTGACATTAACTGTGACCCATATGCTAAAAATAGCTTTTTATCAGCAAACTTTATCCTTCACCATAACTTTAAACCATGAAAGATAGAGATATTTGGTGTGCGTACTCCACTAATTAAGCTCTTTCAAATGACACCAAGGTCAATGACTTCATGACTTTGACTGTGACCTGTATGCTAAAAATAGTTTTTTCGTACGTTTTCCATAACTTTCGAACCATAAAAGATAGAGACTGCATATTTAGTATGCATACTTCACTAATTTCTTTCTTTCAAATGACACCAAGGTCAATGAATTTGTGCCTTTGACTGTGACCTTTATGCTTAAACTAGTTTTTTCGTACCTTTGCCATAACTTTCGAACCATAAAAGATAGAGACTTCATATTTAGTATGCGTACTTCACTAATTTATTTCTTTCAAATGACACCAAGGTCAATGAATTTGTGCCCTTGACTGTGACCTTTATGCTTAAACAAGTTTTTTCGTACCTTTGCCATAACTTTTGAACCACAAGAGATAGAGACTTCATATTTGGTATCCATACATTACTAATCAATTTCTTTCAAATGACACCAATATTGCTTAATTGATTGATTGATTACATGTGCATATAATATGTGACCGCGACTGCGAAAAAGGGTCCAGATGCCGCACACGTCATAATGAGAAATCGGCGATAGTTCTGAACGTTTGCGTCACAATCGAAAAAAAAAAAATAACGCGTGAAAAAAATTGCAGTACACGTGCTTCTGAAAAAGTTTATCTCTGTCTCGTATTTTAAAGTATTAATTATGAAAATGAAAATGTTTGTTGTAATGTTTTGTAATATATTTTATTACGTTTTTTTTATTTTAATTTGAATTTACCGCGGGTTGTAAAGAGCAATAACTCTGTCCATAACAGCAGGCGTGTTTACATTTCCGGTTGAAAATAGATTGAAAGTGAAAGTCACAGTAAAGTTGGAAATTGGAAATGTAGGGAGTTCAAGCACTAAACATGAGCCAAACTTCGATAAAAATATACCATATACCAAACATACCAAAGTACTACTTCAATGGATGCAGAGTGTGTCGTACAACTTTTTAACATCGATAAGTATACCATCAGAAATTGTTCTTTATCAAGATGATGAATTTTTAGAAGATATAGAGCGTGTGGATGAATTATATTTCTCTAAACTTGTTGCTCCAAAATCTAACGTGCGCGACAGACAGTTTTGTGATCTGTCAAGTGACAGCGAGACAGATACGAGTGATTTTGGTGATGTAAATTATGATTCTGACTCTGAAAGTGACAATGACAACTATGATGGGGATGTATATATACCGAATGAAGTTAATGACACCGACACGAAGGAATACATAATCCGTTCCAAATTTCAGAATGACACTTGCGGGTGTAAGGAGTTTTATGGAATGCCATGTAGCACGAAAATTGCATGTGAGTTCCGTGATCATTGTCTACAGTGTACTCGGGAGGAACTTGACACTATACTTAAAGTTGAAATGTTTGCACATAGGCGATCTGGATCTGTCACACAGTCCAAGAAACACAGAGAAAAAGAACGAGAAAGACCATTTCAGGAGTACTACTTCAATGGATGCAGAGTGTGTCGTACAACTTTTTGTTTTGTACATGCGGTTGAAAGAAAAAAACTCCATAAAGTTGCCAGGTCTCTTGATACAGAAGGGTTTTTACCCAGAACACATGGAAACAGTGGTAAGGCTCCGCATAATAGCTTATCAGTGACAGACAGGGATCGAATCAAAACATTTATTACCAAGTATGCTAGTGACCATGCCCTGCCTCTACCAGGCCGACTGCCAAATTACAAATCTGAGAAAGTGCTTCTACTTCCGTCGGATACGACAACTGCTGACATTCATGCTAAGTATGAGATTCTAGCTGAAGAAATGAACTTCAGAAGAATACACTTAAGGACATTTCAAAGAACTTGGCACGAGTTGTGTCCATTTATTACAATCATGAATCCATGCACTGACCTGTGTCAGCTTTGTCAGAATTTCTCTCATCAACTGTCGACAGTTTCTAATATGAATGATGAGGAAAAGGAAGAAATCCTTTCTACTTACACGCAGCATGTTTCCCAAGCTAAACAGCAAAGAGACTACTACAGACACCAGTATACCACCAGCAAGGAAGTGTTCATTTCCTTATCAGAGGAATGTAAACAAACTGGTAAGTTAAAATTTTATTGCAAAATTAAATTCTTCCTTTAGTGTATAGTGACAAGTATGGTATACTTTCCTTCATTAGCATTAATGAACATTCATGTACTATTATATGTGCTTGGATTTGGACTATATTATCAGCCTGGGTAGTAGCTGAATGGGTAGAACACCTGACCAGGGGTCAAGGGTTCAATTCCAGCCATGCATTTTCTCCTCTTTTCCTTGGTACTATTAATAGGAAAACAGACATACCAAAGTGTTTGCAAAAATTTCTTCTGTAAAATTGAATTTCTTTGTTCATGAACTAGTAAATACAATGAATAACTTTCAATGCATACAAATGATCAAGAATGATTAATTTTATTCAAGGAAATGCTCCATGCTCAGTTGATGTGGAAATGCACTATTCCTGGGACTATGCTCAGCAAGTTCATTTTCCACATCATGCCCAACAAGTGGGACCAATATTTTTTAAGACGCCCCGGAAGTGCAATGTGTTTGGTGTATGTTGCGAGGGTTCAGGTATGTTAATTCATAAGTCATGATATGTCAGATATGTATTGCTTAGTTCTTCAATTCATTCAGAAATAACTGTACATGTAATTCTTATAAGAATTTATTAATTACCTTTTATGTGGAAATCTAATATTTGACGAAATAGTACAATCACATGTAAAGGAGGATACTCTTTCAAATATAGAATAATACATGTATGGGACTGAGTCTGAATAAAACAATTTTGGTTCTTTTGAATTCTATTAAATATAGTTGCAGCAAAATATTAACACATTCTGTTTTTGTCATAATGCATACATATAAGGTAAATAAACAAGTCAATGGTTGAGTTACCGTATTAAGTTCTGATCAAAATTTTTGTTTTTACTTAAATGGCAGGAAAACAAGTGTTCTACTTGATTGATGAGGCTGAGAACACAGGAAAGGGTGCTAATTCTGTCATTAGTATGGTTCAACACTTTTTTCAATACCATGGATATGGAGAAAAAACAGCAGCCATTCATTTCGACAACTGCAGTGGGCAAAACAAAAACAACTTTGTCTTATGGTATGCTCTATGGAGAGTTCTTGTAGGTAAGTGTACATCAAATGAAAAATATTTGATTTTAATTATTAAAATTTGTAAAAGCATTGTTTGATATTCAGTATGTTCATGATGTTCAATGCCCAAAGTGTTACATACATGTATGATGTCAGTTTTGATAGTCAAGAAATGCAAACTCTTTCTAAATTTAGCATTTATATTTAAATTAAAGAGTGTATTTCTCTTCAATCAGGACTCCATGTTATTGTGGAATATTCTATGATGGTGGCAGGACACACTAAATTTGATCCTGACTGGCATTTTGGAGTCTGGAAAGTAAAATGGCGTTCATCTACAGCAGAAACCATGAATGAAATAGCAGACACAGTCCGTCATTCATCCCGCAGAGGCCATAACATTCCTCAGCTCGTGTCAGATCCACAAACACCTGTGCAGTTTAGGGACTGGAAGTCGTACTTTGAACAGTTCTTCAAACCGTTGAAAAACATTCGAGGCTATCATCATTTCCGAGTAAGTGCTGAGACTCCTGGTGTTGTTGAATGTAAGGAACTCTGTAATTCTGTTCCTTTGTGTGTTAATCTCCTGAAAGATCAGAATATCCTTCCCTCCGTAAGTGATCCTCTGCCTCAAGAAATCCCAGCACCTGGTCTTGACCCCAAGAGGCAATGGTACTTGTATGAGGAAATCCGTGAACATTGTCTATCACTCTCTTCTAAAGACACATCATGTCCAAAACCAGTCGTACCAAAGAAAGAGGTGAAAGTTTATTCACGTCATCATTCTAGTACGTCACACTTGGGGAAAAGGAAAAGTCTTCTCCTTAGATGAAAGGGAGGACTATTGTGTGTAAGAAAGATTAGAAGTAAGATGTATACATGTAGTTCCTATTGTGTAATTTCCCATAATGTGTTACATTCATGTACTTTTCTGTCCATCGAATTTCATTGCTTTAAAACATTTGTTGGAATTGTTACGTTTACCCAACTGTTTACATAAGCTGTGTCCAATGAGTAGTGTTACATCTCAACAGTTAAAAAAATGTTTAACAGTAAGAAAATTGTTATATGGTGTTTTCACCTTCTCTGTGACATTTTCCTTTAAATGCACTTTAGATATATTTAGTATAACCAAAAATATTACAAAACTTTGTCAAATATGATTAACTACAGATTTTTAATTTTCAAAAGATGCGATTTTCACACTGCCCCCCAACATTTAATTGTTATAATCTTTATACTTAATACTGTTGATAATTTTAAGAAAGTACAGATGCATACATCTGTAATATCATAACAGTACATTTTATCTATAACATGCATGTTTGCAATATTCAGAGTGCTTGTTTTAAAAATAGTTTCCTGCTATTCATATTTTTGTGATTTTGCTTACAACTGTCAAAGAACCTCTGTCATACTGTAATTTATGTGATTCCTGGTGTTTTTTGTCATAACTAGGAATAATAACTTTTTTGTTATTTTGGAATGTAATTTCAATTTGCATATTTATCTTGATAATAATTATTGTGCATTTCTCATGTTTCTAGAGTTTAATATTTTATTGAAAATAAATGGTTGGATTATTTTGTTCATTATGCATGTTTTCTTCCCTTTCTTTCTTTGGTCATCGATGCTGGTAGGATAATAAGTCAGACTTCTGAATCAAATTCAGTTGTTCCAATACTGGCAATAGCCATATGTAATAAGTAACAGTCATATGTAATAAGTAAGAATGACAGTATATTTAATGATTCAGTTTATTTTCATCATATCTAAGCAAAATTTTAAGAAGAGTTTAAAGAAAAAGAAGAGAATGTTCTTAATATACCAATAGACTGAAATTGTTGAGATATATTTTCTAATTACGACGTTATGGTAACGTCACTGACGTTATGATATGACTTGAAGATGCCTGCATTCCTGGACCTGTATCTTCTTTATTTTCAATGAAATTTGCATGAAATTTTGAATTTGTGTTATTCAAAGTATCCTGATTTTAAAAAGACAATAAAATTAATTTCGATTTTTTACTCATCTGGACCCTTTTCCCCAGTTGTGGTCACATATATTAAGCATTGATTGATATTTTTAACGTTCATTAGGCCAATGTGTGTTACACACACATAATTATGTTTTCATAAAGGCAAGAAGACACATTTCAAACCGCATTAATGAAAAATGGCTATTTTAATGGCCATTTTTAAAAGGCAAACATTCTGCGTTTTCCATTCAACAAAACGTTCAGTTTGGGCTCGTTTTTGCGGAACCTGTATTAAAAAGCATTAAAAATATATTACCTTACTTAGAAACTATTTTATTGTAGTTTATTTACCTGAGAGCTCGTGTTCGGGTAGTACTGGGAATTCACAGCCGAGAAAAGACCTGTTTGGCTTGTTCTGTTGAAGTAGCCGGGGCGGGTACTCAAACTACATCAGATATTTGATAATGTAATTTGGAAAATATATTCTTCTTTTTAGAGTCTACACGTTTAGTGTGGTTGTTTTATTATATTTTTCCCCAGATTCCTTTTTCCTCGGGCTTTCGTTCCGTTTCGTGATTATTAGGTATTGGGCGGGGTACTAAAAGCTTATCACATTGACAATAGGGCTGCATTTCATTTTCGGAATTTTTGGTAATTATCAATTTTTCATTTCCGACATTTTTTTTTTTTTTGTTTTAATTTCCAACATTTTTCAAATACATAAGTTGCACTTATAGTAACAAATTTGATAACTTTACTTATGAAAAATTTAAAGGAATATATCATAAATAAATCATTGAAATCCAATTTTGTAAATCTAACAGTGACTTGGACATAAATATGGTGCTGTCACTGACATTAAATTAAGTGCACATTAAATATGGGGAAAACGTTTTATGCTCATTAAACTCTTTTACCTAGACTTAGTGGTACATGTAGTCATGTATGAATATATGTATATTTTTTATTACTATTTTGGCATAAATACTTTTAAAATTCCATTTTCTTTTACTGAGAAAACATTGAATTGCCGCACAGGTAAATTCCTGAAACGAAAATAAAAATTATGTCGGAAATAAAAAAAAAAAAATGTCGGAAATGAAATAGAAAAAAAATGTCGGAAATGCTATGCATATTTCCGGAAATGAAATGCTGCGCTTGAAAACGGTGACACTTGCAGGAAATCTTTGCTCAATTCCTGACCCAGATACCTCACTTACATATTAAACAAGTTTGATATAAGCTTCCATCTGAAAAATATTTCAATATTTTCATTCTGTGAAATTGTCATTTTTTTATTTTTTGACCAATACCGTCATTTTGAAAAATCGGAGCAAAATGTTTGTTGCTAGGACATGATATAGAAAAGATCAAAAATATTATTCGTACCCTCAGTTTTTGTGTCTTTCTTGCACTAAAAAGTTCGGAAAAAAAATGCCCCTGGCAAATGAGAAATAGCCTGAGGGATCTTGAAAGCGGTGAAATCTGCAGGAAATTCTTTGCTCAATTCATGGCTCAGATAACTCAGTTACATTTTAAACAACCCCAAAAGATTGATACCTGCTCCTATCGGAAAAATATTACAAGATTTTCATTTTTAGGAATTGGTCATTTTTTATTTTTTGACGAATAAAGCCATGTTGGAAAATAGGAGCAAAATGTTTGTTGCTGGGACATGATACAGAAAGGACGAATATACTATTCATGCCCTCAGTTCTTGTGTACTTCTTGCAGTAAAGAAAAGTTTGGAAAAAAAAGCCCCGGGCAAATGAGAAAATAGCCTGAGGGATCTTGAAAACGGCGACACTTGCGGGAAATTCTTTGCTCAATTCCTGGCCCAGATAACTCAGTTACATATTGTATTAGGAGGTATTTAAGTCGCTGCATAGCTGACCAAGTAGCTGGGGTCTACGTTTTCATAGATTTTACATGCTTGACATACAGTCCAAGATGAGTAGATAAATACTTTTTTCAACGGTAACCATTTCTCCATAAGGGATAAGTTTGTTTTTTATTTTATATGTAAGTTTTTGAGTCATACATTTGAAACGTAGAACTATTTAAGAACTTGAGTTAAGTAATGTTCTTGTTACTATTTACGTATACAGGTTTTGCTGGGTAGAGTTACTCATGCGTTTATTGTTCTATTTCTGGTGCAATGTACGAAGTTATGTACGTACGTAGGCTATTTTGTTTTGCCGCTTATAAAGTCGGTGTTGTGGGTTAAAACAACTTTTGTTAAGATGTTGTGTATTCTTAACGTTTTCCTTAATATAAATAGTGTTCGGTTAAAATTACCAGGACTGTTTGTATGGTGTGCCATTAGTGCAATGGTGACTTGAGTTTTTCTTTTTGTATACGTAGCCTGTGACTTAGAAATGTTATTTAACCCCCTTCCCCGCAGTCACGCATTCTAACGCATATACCATTTCCTATTTCTGACGCAAAATCAAGCATTTACCTTTCCCCGCAATCACGCATTTTCACGCACTTTAAAAAGTTCATGAAATCTTCAATTTATTGCCAAATTCCAACTATTTCATACTTGCTTAATCTCATAAAATAGAAAAAATATTTCTAATCAAAATATTACGTCATGATATTATTTACGCTAAACTTTAGAGAAACTTGTACCCTGCTAGAAAGTGCTTGCGGGGAAATGGTAACGTAATATTTCTATGACGTGAGGGTTCAGTTTATTTTGCATAACAATTTGTAAGTTGTAAAGTGTTAATTTAAAGGTTCCTGATGTAATCCAATTACAATCTAGCCATGTGTTGGCGAGGACCTTAACCAGACCGGGATACCCACTGGGAGCCAGTTGGCGGGAGTCCGTCGTGAAACGGGACGTGTCTGCGTGGACGTGGTTCTGAGCCAACGATATTGAGGATTATAAGAGACTTTATGTTCTATTTATTGTAAATAATAGCTGTAAAATATGTTGTGAATATTGTTTTTATTGATTTTATTTAAAGATAAAAAATTGTAAATAGAAAAAAAAATCTTGTTATATCTGACTGAACAGAGCACGACGGACCCTCAGTTTTTATGTATTTCTTGCAGTAAAAACGTTTGGGAAAGAATGCCCCGGGCAAAGGAGAAAATAGCCTGAGCGGTCTTGAAAACGGCAACACTTGCATGAAATTCTTTGCTCAATTCCTTGCCCAGATAACTCGGTTACACATAAAACAAGCCACAAAGATTGATACATGCTCCTATCTGAAAAATGTTTCAGTATTTTATTTTTTTGGGTATTCTCATTTTTTAGTTCTTGATGAATACGGTCATTTTGAAAAATAGGAACAAAATGTTTGTTGCTAGGACATGATATGGAAAGGACCAATATATTATTTGTACCCTCAGTTTTTATGTATTTCTTGCAGTAAAAAAGTTTGGAAACAGAATGCCCCTGTCAAATGGAAAATAGCCTAAGGGATCTTGAAAACGCTGACACTTGCAGAAAATTCTTTGCTCAATACCTGGCCAAGATAAACAGTTACATATTAAACAAGCCACAAAGATTGATGCATGCTCCTATCGGAGAAATATTTCAATATTCTAATCTTTGGGAATTGTCATTTTTTATTTTCTCATGAATACCGTCATTTTGAAAAATAGGAACAAAATGTTTGTTGTTCGGACATGATGTAAAAAGGATCAATATATTGTTCGTTATCTCAATGTTTGTGTACTTCTTTCAGTAAAAAAAGTTTGGAAAAAAAATGCCCCAGGCAAATGGAAAATAGCCTGAGGGATCTTGAAAACCGTGACATTAGCAGAAAATTCTTTGATCAATTCCTGGCCCAGATAAATCAGTTACATACCAATAGCCTGATATATGCTCCTATCTGAAAAATATTTCAATATTTTTTTTTTGGAAATTGTAATTTTCTATTTCTTGACCAATACCGTCATTTTGAGAAATCGGAGCAAAAGGTTTGTTGCTCGGACATGATAAAGAAAGGACCAATATACACTGAACCAAACTTCTAAGTGTTCACCTTACATTTTTTAAGTTTTAATGAACAAATGCATACAATAAATAATTTCTTTGATTCATGGTTAATGAGGAATATTTAAGTTAGATGTTGCGTAAATTTCATGTAAGGATCTCTTCAGAATTTTAAGCAAAGTGTCAAGGAAATGATGTACCCTTAAAATGAAAATTCACACACAAACAAAAAAAAAAAACTCTATGGAGTAAGACCACCACTCGCTCTGATTACTACAAGACCATCTCTACAATCTTTACTGTAGGACACCATGTACCCCTGAATAGGAAATTGACCCATCTGCTACCACACCTACTGCATAGATCTTTCCAAACCGTTGAAATTGTGTGGAAGGGGAGGGGGGGGGGGGGGGCTTTGACATTCCTTATAAAAATCCCAAATGTGTTCAATGAGATTCAGATCCGGGAATTTGACAGTGTATCATCACACAGATGCCTTCTGGTCAATATCTTAGGGTGTTTAACACATAAATGCACCGATTTAAGGATAATTCAGACTGCTCCAGCTGATATTAGACTGTGACGAGCACCAATTTCTTATCATTTTCATTCGATTGAAATTGTTTGTTATCATGTTTCTAAGATTGTTTCAGGACAATTTAAGGATGTACAACACACCTACCCCCAAAAATTCCTGTCGTTTAATTTTCGTTATTTTTGTATATTTAGTACATGACTATATCTACTGTATGTATGCCCATTTTGGACAAAATCGCTCGAGTGATTTTTGGACAGGAACTTCCAAAAGTTACCCCCTTTTTTGTTTACAAGGAGAGAAAATTTTTAATCAATGAACTACTTAAACCTTGATTTTCAAAAAAGCCAGGTTAGATATAAATGTCAAATTTCATTGGCTTATTCCTTTAAACATTTAACACAAAAACATAGTCATCTTTTTGATATACATAT